AACAGGTGCATGCTACCACGCCCGGCTAATTTTTGATTTATTGTAGAGATGAGGTCTCTCTGCCCAGGCGGGTCTCGAAACCCGTGGGCTCAGGCAATCCACTCACCTCAGCCTCCCAAAGGCGTGGGATTACAGGCTGAGCCACCAAGCCCGGCTTGAAAAAAGTTTTTAAAGGAAGAGGGCTACCTATTCTGCCCATCATTGGGAGATTGCAAAAATAAGATTAACTTCTGTCTAAATGGGATAGTTCTGAATAGGGAAAGAAATTAATAATGTTATTGCTTAAGTACCATGATTCTCTTCTTCTACTCAAGCTTATCTATTTTTTTTTTCTTTTGAAGCTTCCTGGGTCAAGGGAGACCAGGGATTTGAGCCCTTGAACTCCATGGCACACCCATCCTCTGGCAGTGACATAGAGGATTACATTCCCAAATCAAAATCCAACCTGAGCCTCTCTGTGGGCTATTTCCCTTGTGAGCATAACATCATCTGTGAGGACACAACCTCCTGTGGAGACTCATCTCCCAAGGTTTCTATAACGCACATCTTTCCTCCTCGCCAAGGGACATGGAGGACCGAGGGTAAAGGGAGATTCATGAAGAGACGAGACCAAATTCAGGAGAAGTTAAGGCCAGTTTGCAAACTAAGCATCCCCCTGGCCTGGGATGTTGACATGGGTTCTAACAGTGCAGACTCAATAACTGATCACGATTTAAACAGAGGCGAGTGGATAGACAAGTTCCCAAAAGAGAAGACAAAACTGACTGTCAGCAAACTGAATGGCCTTATGCAAATGCTTGAGACATTTCTAGAAAATGAAAAAGATGATGACTCTGAGTTCCCTAAGTCTACTCGGGAGAAAGATTTCCAGCTGTCCAGCAGCTCCCCTCCAGATACGGTTCAGGTAAGTCATCAAAAACATGATACTCATCAAGACTTGCCTAAATGCAAGAGTCACCAGAAAATGAAGATGTCGCTCAGTTCCTACAGAATCCTCTAAGGCTTAAGGAACACGGGCACAGAAACGTCACTCAGGAGAGCAAGGGATAGTGGGGGTTGGGGGAGCCAGGTTAGACACACAGACCCTTAAGACCTGCTATGAAGTAGGCCTGGGCTCCAGGAAGTTGGATATGACTAGCAGTGGGAGACAGATCACAAGGAAAGGAGTCAGGGTGGAAATGTAGGGAAAATTCTGAGGAGCACTGAGGGAAAAGGAAGGCAGGAAACAAAGAGAAGGGCTAACAATTACACGAAAACCAGTTTAAGTGTTTAAGTATCCAGGAGTATTGAAACTTTGGGCTATTTTTGGTAAAAGGGCTTGAGTTCTAAAAATTAGTAAATACTGAACTCCACTTCTATAGAGATGATGAATGTCTAATTCATCTTTCATTTTCTTGGCAGATGATAAGACAGGCAACTGACTGCCAAAGGACAAGTACCATAGAGACCGACTCAATCTCACCAGAACAGTCAGATAAGGAGGACCCTCCTTCCAATACACAAGCCCGGTCCTGTCTGAACTTGGGTCTGATCTTCAGATGGCTGAGCCAGCGGGTCTTCTCCTCTCTATCGGGGAGAAAGCATCCCTCAAAGGCCACCAAGAGCCCACGTCAGTCAGCAGCAATTTGCAGATGCAAGAGAGTCCAACCTCAACAAACCCTCTAATTAAGGACGCCCTATAGTACCAGATTTTTAAACTTTTTGGTAGTCCTTGTTTCACAATCCCCACGAGTTTATTTCTTCCTAATAAACAAAAAACACTATTCTTGTTATTCAAGCCTTCCTCTTCCAGAACAGCATCTAAACTCAGGTTGAAAGTATATATGTTGTCTAGAAGATTGACATTTATTTTCAGGAAATTTTAAGTAGTATTATACTTCTTAAACTGAAGAAATTCTATTTCTCTCCTCTCCCACTTCTTATTGTATTTTACCCTATTCATTTTATGTATCTTAACTTATTTTATCGATAATTCAAATTCCCGTTTTCAGCAGTCAGCAGTACAACCCATCAGATTCCTACCGTGGCAGAATGATTTTGGTTGAACTTTCAGGGCTTGAGCAAGTGGCAGTGTTTTTTGCTTGTTTGTTTAACTTGGGGTCTCACTCTATCACCCAGGCTGAAGTGCATGATCATGCTCACCATAACCTCCAAATCCTAGGCTCAAGGAATCCTCTTGTGTTAGCTTCCTGAGTAGCTGGGACTACAGGCATGTGCCACCACACCTGACTAATTTTTCTTCTTTTTTTTGTAGAGACAAGGTCTCACTATGTTGCCCAGGTTGGTCTCAAACTCCTGGGCTTAAGAGATCCTCCTGTCTCTGCCTCCCAAAGTGCTGAGATTTACAGACCTGAGAAACTGAGCCCGGACAGCAGTGGGTTTTTAGTCACTGGGGAAGCTAATTTCAATTGGGAGCTCAGACAGAGGTTCTGATTTTCCCAGGGGACCAATCTAGTTCTAGCATGTGTTGCCTTGGCTGCAAAAGTGGCCCATTTAAGAGGATTGGGAGTACAATTAACTGTTCTAAGCCTAGCTTTTCTCATTTATAAGCTAGGGGAGATAATACTACATACCTCATGGGGTTGATGTGAGAATTAATGAGATAAAGCAAGCACTTGATAATTGTTGTCATTGCTACTTATTCTCCTGAGGAACTTCCCAGAAGACTTGATTCAAGGGATATCCAAGAATAAGAGTCTGAGGTCATTCTCATTGAAATATTTCCCACACAGAGCACTATTTACCAAACGTCAGGGGTTTTCAGCAGATTTTAACTTAACCAAGTCTTCTCCCAACCCATTCCACTGTGCTCTCTGAAATTCCTTTGCAACTGTCACTGAACTGTCCTCTAAATCTCACCTTTTTTGATGAAAGTTATCCTTGGTCTTCTTGTTTCACCTTGCCTTGTTATTGTTAGCAACTCCTCTCCCCGGTATCACTGCCATTCTTCTCATTCACCCACAGAATCACTCAACTGTCCCCCGCATCAGCTTTTACTACCATCCTGGGTGACCCTCAGAGTTCCTATGGAGAAGCATAAAGCTTTTCAGTTTCAAATTACTTCCCTTCCTCAATTTCAATTTCCTTATCCCCTGCCTTCCTTCTACAAATATTTAGTACACAGAAGTGCCAGATACTTTTCTAGCTTACAAAAAAAAAAAAGGACTCAATCTTTGGATGCAAGTATGTAAGTATATGACCATAAAGGGTTATGGGTATCCATTCAGTATGGGGGGGGCATTGATTTTAAAAGGTTTCTTATAGGAGGTTCCTTAAGTTACAAATAAGGTTAGTTTAAGGTTAGAGGACTTTTAGTTGCTGGATACATTGGTGTGGAGATCTTGCTGGTTAGCAACACATATGAGACAGTGTGGTGAATACGATCCAGGAAAGACAGTACAGTGGGAGGGATGAGGTAAGAAAACAGGGTCCTCTTGGCAATATATGTTCAAGGTCACACTAGACTTCTCACTTTGTCCACCTGAAAACACTCACCCATTCCACTAGTTCACCTGAACACCTTTGCTTGTTCTTTGACTTCACCAAGACTTTGAATCTCATCATCACACCTGTTTTCTGATTTCTATCCACTTCCCTCCATATTCAACCCATATACCTCCTTTTCAAACTTGGCCCACCATATTTAGTAACACCCACAATTCCTTGCCTTTTTCTTCTCCCAAACCTTCTTTTAACCTAGACTCACTAAACTCCCCCAAGAGGACACAATTGCTACTCATGGGGCCAACACACAAAACCACAGGGATTTCCTTCTCCATTCCCTGATCGCCTGAGGAACTTGTTCCTAAAGACCCCACTATAGGGTTACTATGTGGCAATACTGATCCCTCCAGGTAAAGCTGACTATGTCCTTCTTTAAACTGTTCCCTAGTTCCCATTCTGCCACCCTCACACTGTGACCTGTACTTTTCGGCGATCTCTCTCTCTCTCTCTCTTTCTCTCTCTCTTTTTCTCTCTCTCTCTATATATATATTAACCTACAGTCTGAGCTCTCCAGGGCAAGCACTAGGTAATATTTTCTTTTTATTGTAAAATCCTAACACAGTGTCTAGTACAGAATAACGAGAAAATAGCCATCAGTAGGAAGTCAAATGTGGTGGGTCACATACAGACTGAGAAACCTATTAAATTATTAAATAGGTTTATTCTTAAATTAGAAACTAATTTGAAATTTTGAATTCAACAAATATGCATGGAGCCTTACTGATGCCTTAGACTAGACACTATGATAGGCCTAAGAGAAAGATGATATCTACCAACCTCAAGGGATTTGCAACTGGAGTTTTGTTATTTTAAATCTCTAGTAATTAAGTTCTTTAAAAAAAAAACTCAACCAAAATAAACTACTTTAAAAGACTGTCCACAATGAATAATATGTTCTGTTCTTTAGTAAGACTTCTGACATATTTGTGTTTATGTTTCAGCACTGTATAAACCTGACAGGTATGAACCTGTCCCTAAAATTCAAGCAATGTACTTTGCAAGCCTTTATAACAAAGTAAGATTTTTATGCCCTTTGGGATTGTGTCATGCCTACATATCGGAAAGCAAAGACAAAGTATTTAAAAATGGGAAATATTTCAGTACCTTCTCATTCATTCATTACAGTGTCAAATATGTTATGAAGCTATTCGCTGCATGTCAAACTATGACCAGGTCCTCTACTTTGTACCATATACATGGATCAGCAGATGAGGCTAAAGGAGTTTGCATGTGTTAAAAGGACTGAGCAAACTAGACGTGGCATTTGAAAGATACTAGGTCTCCTATAACCTCAGGTCTCTCATAGAATTATTGTAATTGCCAGCGACATGCTAATCTAATGAGCCAATAAATTTTAGGAACCATTATCTCATAACTGAAAACTATAATGCTTCCTTCAAGTGACTTGAACCTTGAAGCCTATGAGGTTCAGCTGCTTGAATTGGCCAGATATTAACTTAAAACATTCATATTCTAGAATTCATAACACCATCATAATATAAACCAGAATACAACATGATAATTTATCAAGCAAATGTAGGGGACATTCAGCTGTCTCCAATCACAGAACTAAGATAGGCTAATGTAAATACATTACAGAACACCCATGCCATACCAATTTCTTGTTTAGTAGAATCCCAATAAGATAATTTTTAAAAAGTGTGTGATTGAACCATACCAGCACAGGGGCAAAACCTTTTTCCAGACAAATAACAGAATGTGCGTATGCATGACTCAAGAGGATGCATGGGTTCAAGTCTAACTGGCCACAACAAAAGTGTCTAAAATTCTCTTACAAAACAATGAAAAGAAAAATGAAGTAAATTATACATGAATTCCTAGAGATTATTAAGGTCCTTACCCCAATAATAAAGAACAGTTTTGTTTACTTAGAAGGAGCAATTAGTTGCTTCAAAAAATGACTTCCCATCAAGACCTGCAAGTGGGAGAACTTACATAGCATGCAGGACAATCTCCAATTTCAAGAGAAATGGGTGGGTTTTATATTGCATTGCCTGAAGTCAATCTTTTCCTGCTACCCCCTAATACCTCAAACAAACAGAACAACGCTTTGCTTTCAGAAGCGAAATAAGATCCCTATCAGATAACACTCCCTGAGTGAGCCAGTCAGGAGCAAAGTACAAAAGCTTTTGGATAAATTCCCAAAAGGATTATTAGCCTAAATCAAGAAGTCCCACTAAAAAAACAATTTCTGTTTTATCCCACCTTTCAAAGGAATTCCATGGTTTTAATGCCCATTTAATTTTATTATAGTATGCTTCATAATAAACGACTCTCAGGCATTTTCAAATGGAGGGTATATCCTATGTTTTCAGATTGTGACTGTTGAAAGGAAATTCATCTCATTATTGTTGATTTCTCTCAGTCCAGAAGGAAATCAGAATGGCATCAAGAAAGATTTATTATTTTAAGTATAAATCTCCAAGATAGAGTTCTCTCTCTTTCTAGGGTAGGGCTTTCCTCTATACCCACTCACAAAGGAAAACATTTCAAACATCTTAATAGTTAAAATAAGTTTGGTCATTGTTTTCAAGTTTCACTTTCATCAACCAGTTTCCTCTTGGTCTTTAGGGCCTAAATTTTCTGCAAGCAGGCCATGGAGACAGAAAGGAGAACTTTCCTCCGTAAAGTGACTTCAGAAACCCAGTTAGTACCATATTGCAACCACCAACTTCATAACTGATTCACATAAGGATCAAAATGGATGCTGAAACCACAGGGAGAATGACTGTCAGGCAGCAGGTCACACACATGGTCTCTAAGAATTACTCCGCATAGATGACTTGTAATTATCAAGGAGTTCAGGCACCTTCACAATGGAGAGGTTTAGAGAATGCTAACTTAGCCAAGGGATTAAACTTAGCCTAGCCAACACCATGGACCTTCTGAAGAGAAGCAGTGTATACTTTTTAAAATGTTTTACCTGAATCTAATCATGAGGACACCAACAGTCAGATGAAGGACATTCCACAAGACAACTGTTTGAACTTTTCAAACATGTTAATGGCATGAAACTTGTTATGCAAGATTTTTTATTTACTCTTTGTTCCAAGCCAAAAAAGCAAAACAAAATTATAGCAGAGGGTGTTTTTGTGACAGTTGGGAAAATGTGAGTATGGATTGTGTAAGATGATTTGATTGAGTATTTATTGGGTATAATAATATTATGACTAGGTAAGACAATGTCCTTGGTTCTTAGGAAAGTTCGGATTAAGTTAAGGATGACGTGCCATAATATCTGTAATTGACTTTCAAATGCTTCAGGAAAAAAATATAGAGAAAATAAGAAAGCAAAAGTGGGGAAAATATGAAGAAAAACTCCAGTAAGTAGGGAATCCAGAGCTAGGCTAATAAAGTATTATATTTTCTACACTTCTGTGATTGCAATATCTTAGAGATATACATATTTAACACATTCAAATGTTTAAACAAAATTTAGATAATTTGATTTCTCAAGTGATATAAACTGGGTTATATATATGCACATATATTTATATGTGTATATATATT